TCTATCCACTGAACCAAACCGGTCAGGGCCCCAGCTGCTCTTCTTATCCAGTATCTTCTGCAGGCCTGGGGCTTAGCATGGGGTCATCAGGTGGAAATCAACATCACCTCTCTCATACATAATAGCAGTTGGGAATTTGGAGATTGGGGCTATATCTAAAAAAGGGGATTATATGTTAAAAAAAGGGGGGGATTACTTTGCCAATTTACAGGCAGCGAAACAGGCCTCTACTGCTCCTGATTTATTTAAGGCAGCAGCACATTCAGGGGCAGCTCAAGGATGAAAACCAATGGCCTCCCAGCCCCCAAATTGGGAGCCAGGCCCATGAATCATCCTGCCACTGACATAACTAAAATCGCAGGAGATAGAGAAGAGTCAGGGCATCTCTGACCTACAGATACTATAATCTTTTCAAACCCCGTCTCTCCTTCATTATGGTAGTAATGTGAAAAATGGTTTTTACTCGTAAAGCATGTAAACCAACAATAGAATGTTGTTAAATATATATATTTGCAGGTGTCCACTGGGCAATGAGTCCTGTAACTTAGGCACACAAGCTCCTGAGGGAGGAGAGACAGAAAGATAAATACATTTCCATTACAAATAGAACTATGGAAGCATACTATTTCTGTACCTTGCCTTTTCTGTTTAATAATGTATTACAGAAATCATTCCATTATATCACAAAAAAAATTTTTACCTTATTTTTTTTACTGGTTGCCTATAGCCCATTATGTATAGGATCTGTTCTATATGTATAGGGTGGGCAGAAGTGGGGTTACAGTTGTGAGTATGTGAAGCACAGAGTTTATTCTTGTATTATTATTTATTTGTATTACAACTATAAACCTACTTTTGCCCACTCCTGTATATTGGATTCATTAACATTTATTTAACTAACTTTCCAATAGCTCCCTAAGGCAAATCACATTGTAGTGACTCTTGACCAAATGTTCTTGTGTGCACTTGTGTTAAAACCTTCATGTTATTTTTTTCAATATAACTGATTTATTTTTATTCATTTTATAATCTTTTTATCTGTTTTATTCCATCTTTGGTCCCATTAGATTCTGCCTATATCCGTGTGTGTGTGTGTGTGTGTGTGTGTGTGTGTGTGTGTGTGAAACAGCATAGTGATGAGGTTTTCATTTTTGTTTTATTTTGCCATCATATATTTTTACCACTGTTGTGTAGAGTTTTAAATAATAAGATGAGTTTTCCGCCGAAACCGGTTTGGCTCAGTGGATAGAGCGTCGGCCTGCGGACTGAAGGGTCCCAGGTTCGATTCCGGTCAAGGGCATGTACCTGGTTGCGGGCACATCCCCAGTAGGAGATGTGCAGGAGGCAGCTGATCGATGTTTCTCTCTCATTGATGTTTCTAACTCTCTATCTCTCTCCCTTCCTCTCTGTAAAAAATCAATAAAATATATTTAAAAAAAAAAAAAGATGAGTTTTCCTTCTCTAAAAAAATCTAAATTTATCCTTTAAGTCATTTTTGTCATGTTATTTTTTAAATTTTCATTTTTTGTAAAAAACTGTAAGATATAATTCATGTACTATATATAATTTACACATTTAAAATGTACAACTCAATGGTTCTTAGTGTATCTGCAGAGTTCTGCAACTGTCATTACAATCTATTCTGAAACATTTTCATCACCCCAAAAAGAAATCCCATACTGTTTAGTTGTCACTCCCTAAGGCTACAAATCCTACCATTTATTTTTATTTTTTATTGTTGTTGTTAATTCTCACCTGAGGATATTTTCTCCATTAATTTTTAGAGAGAATGAAAGGGAGGGAGGGAGGGAGGAGAGAGAGAGAGAGAGAGAGAGAGAGAGAGAGAGAGAGAGAGAGAGGTTAGAGAGAGACACATCAATTGGTTTGGTTGCCTTCCACATGCACCCTGAGGTCCGGTAATTAAACCTGCAACCCAGGAACGTACCCTTGACCGGAAATCAAACCTGAGATCCTCTGGTGTGTGGGTCGATGCTCTAACCCTCAGCCACACTGGCCAGGACAATTCTATCATTGACATTTTTAAAGATATTGTGCCCTCAAAGCAGCGTATCGACTGTGTTCTCACCAATAATAGTCCACTGAATGTCCGTTTCCTCAGACCCTTCCTATATTACAAGAATATTTCATTTTTATTGGTCTTTTAAATTTAAAAAATGTATTGCTTCAGTTTGCATGTATTTTATCATGAATGGTGCTGACCATCTGTTCTCGTGTTTCCTGGCCATGTGTGTCTCCTCTCAGGGCACTGCATTGCAGACCTATTTTAAACACAAGAAGACATATTGTTGTCATTGCTTTATTTGGATCCCATTGACCATGGCATGATACACTACATGGGGTGGGGTGGGGGAACACTATGGAGTCAGTTAACATGGGTTTCAAAAACAAAAGCACCCTCCGAAGAGGCCCAGACACCCAGAAACCTGCCCTGGCATCCCACACCCCTGCCACCAGGCCTGAGCCACTTTGGCCTGTGGGTTCTTTTCATAGGGACTGTAGCCTCCAGTGGTCAGAGGTAGAGGAGGATGCTGACCCCCACGATGACCACACTACCAGGTATCAGAAAGCCTCAGCCAGACTCTGCTAATCATGTCCCTATTTATTAGTAAGCCAGCAAGATGCTGTTATACTGCTTGTGGTGGGAAGCCCAGTGTACGCCCAGCAATCTGCCCCTCACCTCAGGCATGTGACAATAATATCTATGTAATATTTAACATATTTGAAACCCAGGCCAGACCTCTTGTAACACTCCCTCCTCTCTACCACAAAATCATTTCCAGTATAATCCTGCAATGATGATTATTATACTAAGCATGATTTTCCTGAATCTATATAAACAATTAAAAACGCATTAACATATTAACATATGTACTACTATTTGTAATACCTTAAACAATAAAATAACATTTAAAAACATAAAAAAATGCATCAACATTCAAATGAAAAGAGTACACACAACATCACTTCTTTGACATTTCTGCCAAACATGCAGGACCTGGATCTAAGGAGGGAACATCAGACGCACCGAATGAGAGGCTTTCTGGGGAACAGCTGGCCTGTCTCCTTTAAAAGTGTCTAGGACCTGAACGCCAAGGAAAGGCTGAGGGCTGCCCTAGACAAACGGAGAGCAAGGAGGCAGGACTTTGTTCTGGACTCTTCGTGGAAAGGACATTATTAGGACCATCAGTGGGACTTACATGGGCCTGAGCATCGGTGGCGCTATTGGATCGATGTTGACTCCCTGACTTTGACGACTGAATTACGATCATGGAGAAGGTCCTTGTTGGTAGGGAATATATACTAAGGAGTTTGGGGTTGGTGGCAGGTCAAGCATATTATTCTCAAATGATCGGGGGGAGGGAAGGTTATTTGTACAAGTATGTCCTCGGGCCATACTTTCAAGTTTTCTCTGTGATCTTTTTAAAATATGAAAATTATTGTTAAAAACCTCAATGGTAATTGTAGCAATTGTTTAGGATGCAGACCAACAAAGGACTGTTCTGAGGAGTATTTTTCACCAACAGTCTTTAGAATTGCTGACACGAGGTGACTGTTCAAGTCGGTGATTATGGCTTTGAAATTCTCCGCAACAGTGCCTCCGCTTACTGCCTACCCGCGGGGGAAGCAGCACCCAGCACCCGCCCCTCGGTTCACCCTGGTTACAGTGGCAGATCCTGCTCACAACTTCAGATGTGGATCAGATTCCCCCACACAAAGGTGGGGCATAGGACACTGGGGCAATTGACCAAAAAGACCACTGGGGGCAGTGTTACGCTGCTGCACTGTCCACACGGGCAAGGTGCCTATCCATCAACCCACACTCATTTCATCCGGGGAAAAACACTTTGAAGCATCCTGTGTGCTGATTAACAAACTCTTTTAGTGCCAAATGTGGCCAAGTAGCCCTTGAATTAGCTCATCCTTAAGGCGGGACTTCTGATCAGGGTGTTTCAAAGCCTAACTACCGTGGACGTATATGTCTGACCATAGCCAAGCACCCCTGGAGTGCAGGTTGTCACGAACCAGCCCGTACACCTGCTCACTCGATTTTGAAGTGGCCATGTCTGCGCATGCGCACAGGAGGCGAGCACGGCAGCACCGTCCTTGTGGGCCGTAATGACCTGTGCCTGCACCTGGACGTCTGGGCCATGCGAGTGAAAATCAGCACCCCTTGACCTAAACATAGTAGATTGCCGAGGTGCTTTTCTCCTCGTGGAAGCAGTTTGCAGCTGAGAAAGAGATCTTGCAAATGATCGCAGTCTGCTCTTGCCCACAGCCCAGGGGAAGCACAGATTCAAAGAATCAGTGGATCAGTGGCTGCTGTCATTGGCTTGTCCTCTGCTGGCGGCCTGGGAAGCGCACCAGGACGGGGACCGGGAGGCATCCTATGCAAGGGGGTATTGCTGGTTACTGTGCAGCCTCGGGCCCCTGAATGGAGACCCGAACTTCCTGTGTGAATGTCCAGTTCAGCATTTCAGCCTGGGGAGCACAGCCTTTAACCTGGTGCTTCGCCTGTCCCATCTCAGCTCCCAGGAATGCACAGGTCTCTCTCGAGCCCCGACAGGCAGAGGAGTCGCCCACCGAGGACCTTATGAAACGTTTAGGTCCTGGGCTGCTTCCCCAGGGTCCCTGACCCACCCACGGTGTGCCTGGGAGAGTCCTGCCGGACAAACCCCAATGATGTTGATGCCCACGGTCCGTGGGCCCTCAGAGAAGCCCTGCTCTAGTGGCAGGACCATGGGGCTGGCAGTCAGAAAGCCCAAGTTTGCCTCCACAGCCCTTTCTATCCACAGCCGGTGACCTTGGGCCTCCCCACGCGTGCAGTGCAGTAGATGGGAAAGCCCTTTACAAACTGAGGCTCTTCCAAAGCAAGAGGGTCTTGCCCCGGTTGTGACACTAACCTTGTTGCTCTACCGTGGGTGCTGAAACCTTCTGGTGCCTCCTCTCCAATTTTTACAAAGATGCTGTTCTGTCCCCAGCCTTCAACACAGCCAGGTGTGAGAAACTACAGAAGGAGAAGGAAGAGCTGGAGAGGCGGTTTGAGGACGAGGTGAGGAAGCTGGGCTGGCAGCAGCAGGCCGAGCTCCAGGACCTGCAGGGGCAGCTGCAGCTGCAGTTCCAGGCGGAGATGACACGCCTTCAGGAGGAGCACAGCGCCCAGCTGCTGCGGATCCGGTGTCAGCACCAAGAGCAGGTATGTGTTTGTGCTGCGCTCTGTCTCTGCTGTTGGGATGTGCAGGTGGAAGGTGGAGGGGGAGCCATGCTACTTGAGTCCGGAATCCTGTCCGTAGGTGAGCTACTTGTAAAGTTCCCTCTCTGATTTCATTTCTTCCTTCCACTGCCTCCTTTCCTCCCCTCCTGCCTTTCTGGCCTTTCTCTCCTTGTTCTGCCAAGCATGCTCCTCCTTCCTGCCTAGACAGTTCTCCTTCTAGACCAGCGGTTCTCAACCTGTGGGTCGAGACCCCATTTGGGGGTCAAATGACCCTTTCACAGGGGTCGCCTAAATACATCCTGCATATCAGATATTTATATTAAGATTCATAACAGTAGCAAAATTACAGTTATGAAGTAGCAACGAAAATAATTTTATGGTCGGGGGTCACCACAACATGAGGGACTGTATTAAAGGGTCGCGGCATTAGGAAGGTTGAGAACCACTGCTCTAGACACTCCATGGCCATCCTCTCAAGCACTAAGAGAGAATTGTCTGCCAGGCTTACTGCTAGAATTTTGGTACGTGAATGTGCCTGCACAGAGTAGGTCGTAGGTTTGAACTTGCCAAATAAAAGCATGAATGCCACTAGCTGGCCCAGCGGTCTTCCCAGAGAAAGCGATTCATCTGGAATGAGTAGAGAATGGTTCCCAGGGAGCCCGTCAGGCGCAGCAGGTAGGAGCGGGAGCCTCCTTGTCCATCACTGTGGGTGCTGACCGGAGACTCTGCTTCCATGAGAACCAGTTCTGCTCCGTTCTTTTCTCTTCTTTCTAAGTCCCCAAAGCTCTGTTGCCTTAATACCCGCCTTCTAAGTGGTGCATTGTTTCTCGTGGTCTGCTAGTGGCATTTGCAAAGAGCACGCTAAGTCTCAGGCTGCCCCCTCCCACTGCTTCCAAATAGACACCCTGGACGGTGACGGTCCCCAGAGGTTTGTGAGCCTAATGGGCACAGGGAGAATTCCAGAGTAATAATAAGCACCATTGTTGTCATTAAAAATCTCCCATTTGACACATTTTATTCCATTCAGCATCTTTTCTGTGGAAACCAGACACACCTGCCTGCTTAAGGTTGTTTAGACTTACAGACCAGGAAACAGAATAGGTTACAGCTAAAGTTACCACTGGTGCTAATGTTAGAACCAGGTCTCCAGCATCTTGCCTCCTGAGCTCGCAGAGCAATAACCTCTGTAAGCAGACGTTGTCCCTGAGCTGTCTGCAGAGTTAGCATGGCCCTTGGATACATCCCCAACCCGGTGCAAATAGCGGCTCTGAGCCTCTGTATCCCTGGGCCATTCGCTCCCAGTTTTGCACAGAGGACGTGTTTATACCTGTGTCCACTAAGAGACTTCTGGTCCAAAGTTCAGGGTTGGCTGAGAAGGTGCCAAGAGGTGGGAGGGAGGGCAGGAGGTGGCTGCCAGGCAGGAGAGGGTGCTTCGAGGGGCCCTTGGAGTGAAAGCTCCCTTGCAGTGCCGTGTCTGGAAACCACGCAGCTGAGGCCACTGCTGGGCAGAGCCTGTCCACCGGTGGGGCTTGGGGCGGGCAGAGCGCCCCTCAGCGTCCTGTGAGCAGAAGCACAGCCGGCAGATGAGCCCTCACCTCGCCTTTAAGCTGGGACACAGCAGCGTTTTGGAGCTTTCGTGTTGGGCAGGATTGAGGGAAAGAAGGCCCTGACATTGAGAATGAGTTGCAGAAGCTACCTGTGAGCATTTAAAAAGGGCTTTACCTTATGAGGCCTCTGAGTTTCGTTCTTCTTGATCCTTATTCACTAAAGCGATTCATCTAGTTACCCATTCACTTAGGCCAAGAACATCTGGAGCGTCCACTGCACACCAGGCACACGTCAGGGTCCTGCCAGAGACGCCCAGATTTATAAACCGTGGGCGTGCTTGATCCATGCCTCAGGCGATGGCCAGGGAAGTTCTGAGGGAACTGATCCTGGGTGAGCAGCAGAGACGTGTCTAGGAATTGAGAGTTTACTTCCAGCTGTGAGGGTAGAGAACATTTTCTGGTAGAACTAACACCCGAGTGCTGTAGGTCTGAGTAAACCTGCCTGCAGACACCCACTGGCTGGGGGGATGGATGCTTGAAATCTGTGAATCGTTCGGGCCTGACTTGGCCCCTGCTGCGGAACGTGGGCGGCCAGCCTGACCACAGCCCTCCCCCCCCCCCGCCCCCCGCCCCCTGCCAGCAGAGAGAGTGCAGGCAGTGAGGGAGGCGAGGCAGGGACGTCGCCGGTTCTCATGCAGTAGAATCCGCATTCGCTCTGTGCAGGAAACTCCGTGCACGGCTGCGATGGAGAGTTGTGAGGTCTGCTGTTTCAGCTCTCCAGCTCGGACTACCCACCCTCAGGCTTCTTTATTGGGGACAATTTGCATTTGGCAATGCTGACCCTATGGAGAGTGACATCTGTCCACAGTTGTGCTCCACCAGCTTAACAGTCAACCAACCTGGCCTCTGGCCGCCCAGCGCCCCACACCAGCAGCGCAGGAGCTCCTGTGGCTTCGCTCAGACTGGGAGCTCGTGCGCTGAGACACGTGAACCTCTGACTGCTGCAGGGTCTCCCTCCGACAAATCCAGCCGTCCACTCACCTCTGCCCGCACATGGGAGTCACTGGGGAACGTGTGGCAAAACACCCTCCTCATCCTCACCCCACGGTAACTGCATCAGAATGGCTGGTGGGTTGGGTTGTTCGTCAGCCTGACCTGAAATGCAGTGTCCCCAGACGCAGGCCCCCAGGCTTCCTTAAGTACCGATAAAGATCCGGCCTGATTTTTATTTCAAAATGACCATAAGGTGTTTAATCAAAATCAGCACGTGTGCCATAGCTAGCTCCACATGAATAGAAGCCAAACTGCCAGAGCCCCCCACCTCGAAGCACACAAAACGGATTTTCACTGAAAATACACAGGCTTGTCCCCTTTTGCCCAAACACAGTGCCTTCCAGTTGTCCTCTCTGGGCTGTCTACTGTTTCCCAAAGATGCTCAGCCACAGAGCCTCACATTCAATGGTCAATTATGTGACCTTTGACCCCATTCCTCCCAGACCCTGTGGCCTTTTGTCCTCCTCCCTGACCTGGCCCTGAAGTCACTGTGGACTCTGCTCAGTGAAGTCTGAGCAGAGGTGCCTTCCCCTCCGGGGGAAGCAGTGCTCCTCCTTGGCCTTTACGTTGCTTTGTCTCGGATTCAGGACGTCCTTTCTCCCTTCCTGAAGGAAAGCACCCTTTCAGACCAGCTGGCAGCCTCCGCATCCTGCACTGCATGAGAACATACTTGGTTCATCCTCTGGCATTACAGCTCCTTAGTCCTCCTGCACGACAGGTGCACAGCTGCCACCAGCAGAAGCCACAGGCCCTCAAACAGAAGGAGGTTCCAGGGACCCTCAGTCTTCCAGCTCCAGAGCCCCGCCCAGCACAGCCCAGAGTCTCAGTACCCTGGGAGGAGGCGCTGTGGGAAGGTGGGGGCTGCCTGAACTCCTGCTCACATGTGTGCTGCAGTGGGGGCAGAAGGCACATCCTGGAAAGGGATGGAGTGGGACTGGGCGCTCTGGGATGGCTGGCTGCCCACTCTGAGTAAGCAGATACCCAGGCTGTGTAAGCAGGCACCGAAGGGAAGGAAAGGAAAGTCCGTAAGAGAACCCTGGAGAGAGTGAACATGGGCAGCCCCCTCTGTCCCACCAGACAGGGATCTGTGTCTGGGATGGGAGTAGATGGGAAGTTAATCTGATTTGGGTTTAATGAGTAAGGCTGAGATGATACAAAGCACATGCATCTTCATTCTAAATGTAAGTTGTCTCTCAGGGAATGGCCAAAGCCTCAGATAATTGTGTGTTGCAAATGGCTGAGTAAGGAAGCCCACAGCTGTATCTTACCCATCCAGAGGGTGGTTCTCCAACCCTTTGCTGTGCTGTTGCTCAGCCCAGCAGAACTGCAAGCCCCTGTGGAGTGGAGCCTGCCACGGAACAGCTGCTTCTCCACACCACGGGGTCTAGTGGAGGGCGCAGCCACTGACTCCTCCTCCGTGCGCAGCCCGAGCTCCGTCTTCCTGGAGAAGGAAGGAGTGGTCCAGCAGTGGCTTAAGGCCCCAAGAGAAGGATGCTTCCTCCCGCCTAAGCCTGCCGTGGACTGACAATGAATCAATGATCTGATGTTTCCCTTCCGTCAACTTGTCTGAATCCCTTCAAACGCCTGCAGCGGGTTTCAGGGTGTCCTCATGCTGAAATCTCACTGGCTGCTTCGGAGTGTGAGGCCATGCCCTGGGAAGAAGCCAGGAGCCCCAGAGGAGCAGTCATGGGGATTAATACTCTGACAAGAAGAGGATGGCCGATAGTGAACAGCTCCCTCCCCATAGAGGGAACAGTCTTCAAAAAACATAAAGATGTATAGGAACTTTACTGAAGAGCAAGGATTCTTATGCCCAGATCTTGGTTCATTGGTTCATATTGGTTTCCTCTTGTTGCATATGGCCTTTCAGAGTTAGGGGATCCGTATTTCACTCATAAAAGCACCTGTGAGGGGCTGTAACAGAGAGACCGTGCCCGTACATCAGGCTTCCTATATTGAGCATGGGATTGAGTCACCATTAAATCAAAGGACCTGCCTCCCAACAAACCAGAAGGGCGACATTCAGCTTCAGACATAATGTCATATTGCCTGACAGGGCATCTTCTCCGCCAGGGACACAGGGGACTCTTCTGGAATATGGTAATTTGTGTCAGAGCCAATAAATTAGAATTACACCAAGGACTGATCAAAGATTTTTCCTCAAACTGTACTGGGTAACAAGCATCCAAATAATGTGTGGGGACCTATGCCTACAGATAGGGTGACCTCAGCTCAACTGATACAGTAGGGAAGCAGAAAAAATATATACTTGTATTTTTTTTTAACCAGTGATTTATTTTTTCAAGAGACTGAAATGCCTTGGATGAAGATTCTATGAAAACCTCATATAAAAAGGAATTGGACAATTATATACTGTGGTAATCAGCTTTTCTGATTAATGGAGTCATAGGTCTGAGCCTTAAGTAAAACATTGTTTCATCAAGAATGGCCTGTAAGCTTGGCTGGTATAGCTCAGTGGTTGAGTATCGACCTATGAACCAGGAGGTCACGGTTCCATTCCCAGTCAGGGCACATGCCTGCGTTGTGGGCTCAATCCCCGGTAGGGGGCGTGCAGGAGGCAGCCAATCAATGATTCTCTCTCATCATTGATGTTTCTGTCTCCCTCTCCCTTCCTCTCTGAAATCAATAAAAACATTTTTAAAAATAAAAAAAGGATGGCCAGTAAATAAAAGTGAATCATTGCATATCATGTTCATTTGAAAAATGTGATGCAGTTATCCTAACACTGTGGAGTTCATTGTTGGTTTTGCCAATGATATTTCTGTTTTCATGGATGAAGTTCTCTTTTACCTTAGGAGAGAAAAGTCAGGCAAATTTTCCCATGCAATTATAGTACCGGAGTGAAAATCTACCCCATTTTAAAATAAAAATACTCCCATGCATTTACTCCACACATGGGCTTCCTTTCCTGTAGAGAGCCCTTCCTCCTTTCAGATCAAAGGTCGGCCTGTGAATTGTCCCCTGAGGAACAAAGGACCCTAGGCGGTGGCTGAGTAGTACCAGCTAGAAGCAGTATGTTTAACTGGTCCACACGGGGCTTCAGGACCTGGGCACACCTCCTGCTTCAGTGTTCCTCAAACACTAGGTTTTGACACATTAGTAGATAAAAATTTAAAAAACAGATTATTGCAAGTAGGAGGGGAAAGTATTGTTTTTTGGCACTTTGGTTTGTGCATGTGCACTATGTTACAATGTACAATATTTTTTGCAATGGTGGCTGACAAAGAATTTGGAAAAACACTTCCGGTTTGCTAGCGTGGGGAGAGGCCGTTTTAGGCAATTACTCCTGTAAGTCATACATTTGAAGTTAAAAACAACAGCACAACAACAAAATAACAAAAACAGTACATGTGGTGATGGTGGGGGCGGGGCGGAGATCAGGAGGAGTGGAAATGAAAAATCCTAGGCTAGCTGTGCTCCTCGTGATTAAAGTCCTGGAAATGACCGCAGCCTCGCAGTGCTGGACGGGAGGCCCAGGTTGCAAGCTGATGGCTAGGACTCGGCTGCCTTGGCCTTGGGGAGAGGCTCCTCGGGCACTCGTTGCTGCTCTTGCTGGGAAGGCAGCAGCGGTGTGTTTGATGGAGCTTCGCCTGTGCAGTCAGACAGACTGGGCCGACTGATGGCTCTGCCCCTTACTGGGACTTGGCAAAATGTTTCAAACTCTCTAAGCCTCAGTTTCCTATAAGATGGACATAAGTGTTTCCTTTACAATGTGCTAGGAGGGGTAAGCCGAGTAGCTGGTAGCAGGTAGCTTAGTAAGTGTCAGTTCCCTTCATGTACCTTGTGCACTATGGCTCCCACCTGCTGCTGGAACACAAAACAGACCATCTAGAAGGGAGGTCCCTCTTCTTTTCCTGAGTCATCATCACCAGAGTGATCGGTGTGAGGGGAAGGAATGGGAGTGGGCAGTGGATGGTCCAAAGCCAGGCCCCAGATGGTAAAGAGGGGGCTCAAGCAACCATTCCCACAGGAGCCTCCACCCTCCTGCAGACAGCCTACCTCCAGGGGCTGCCATATCCCCACCAAATCCTGGCTCCCCTGCCTCCACACAGGATGAGGGTGGCTGTCACCGCAGCAGAATGACTTTTCCTTGCGTTTTGGACCACTGACCTTTCTACTCTGTGAGTTCCATCTCTGTTCTCCAGGCAGTGAGGACATCACTGCCACCCGTCCGTCCCGCGTGACCGTCACTGTGATTCTCCCACAGGTAGAAGATATCACCGCCAGCCACGAGGCTGCTCTCCTAGAGATGGAAAATAACCACACGGTGGCCATCGCGATCCTGCAGGATGACCACGACCACAAAGTCCAAGGTAGCTACCATCCTAGATGTGTGTGGCTGGCAGGGTGGGCCATGGGAGACCAACCTCCTGCTGCAGACACAAGGAGCACCTCCTGCTTGCTTGTCCCACTTTCCTTTCTCCCTTCCTTTTGTTCCTGGCGTGTTCTCTGTGTTGCTTGCTGTGGAAAGGAAAGATGCAAAACCAGGATCCAGGTAGCACTTCTTTCCTCTGCAGCAGTTACTCTCAACCTTGCCTGGATGTTGGAATCCCTGGGCGCTGTGATTGGAGGCTGGTGCCCGTCTAGGTGCACTCCGGGCCCCCAGGCAGCTGGTCTGGGGTGCAGCTGGGCATCAAGATTTTATAAAGCTCCTGGGAGGAGTCTGACGGGGAGCCGTGCTTAAGAACCACCAATGTCACGTAGGCATGGAAACTCCGGGCCTGTCTGGGCCTCACACAATTAAACAGTAGTCTCGGTGGACACACCTTTCCAAGGCAATTTTGCGATAAAAAGATAAAATCACTACAAACAGAGGGACATTAAAAATGACCTAATGAAACATAAAAAAGGAATAACAAAAGTAAGCCTTCATTTAAAATATGTATAGATTCATAGCAATGCTGCTCAAATAACTGATTTTATTTTGTAGATGTAACCTAAGGACTTGTCTTCTTCTAGGAGAATTCAAGAGGGCACTGGGCCTCCCTTTCTCCTCCCAATGCACTGTTCCAAAATAATAAACCGACTCTTGGACGGGTCATCTCACCTGGAAGAAATGCTAACTGTTTTAAGAGTACCACCACGTGTCCACTCGTCCCTACATAGACCATTATGAGGGCTCGCTAACATTTACATAGAATATAAAGATGGGAGTAACAGTGAGAATCATCAGTGGAGAAATGAAACTGAACAACACCCCAAACCCCAAACTACCAACCAGTTATTTTATCTGTTTACAGAAAAGAAGCCTTATAGCCAATTAGCTGTACAGAAAAATGTTGGCAGCAAAGACGTCTGGGGCAGAAACAGCACATGTGCCAGCTCCCACCCTGGGCTGCCCATTGGGACCACCTGGGAGTTTAAAAAAAACAACACTGATGAGTAAATCCCACCTCAGAAATTCCACTTTAATTGCTCTTGGGTGCAGCCCAGGCATCAGGGCTTTTTAAAGCTCCCCAGGTGATTCTAATATGCAGCACATTTTGAGAACCATTGTCTTAGAGCAGTGTTGGGTGTGGGGTGGAGTGTTATGACCTCAAAATAATTAAGTATGTTATGGGTACATAGTTGTCAGGCATGGTGATACCATGTCCAGGGTAGATACGGCCTGCCTCTTTCTTGGGGTATTGGGGTCATCTGAATGTCCTAAAGCCCATTGCTGCGCTGTAGAAAAACAGTCTCTGAGTGGGAATGTGAGTGGAGATGATGCAGTGAGCCACACTGTTGCCTTTTGTTGCTGGATTTTCATAAAATAGACCTGGCAGATTTTTCTCACTAGCAAAGCCTTGCTTAGATGCCGCATCGAAGGCCTTTGCATTATATATAATACATATAATAGTAGCAAAAACATTCATTATTATGGTCAGGACAATGTGCTCAATGGCTATTGAAACCAATCATTTAGACAGAAAGACACATAGCTTTATCTTAATTCAATCAGCACAAATTAATTTTTTCCAAATGTTAATTTGAGTTATAACAACTAGATTTCTTAGAGACCTTCTCCATTATTAGTTCAACGATTTGGATCAATGGAAACCAAAAGCTTTTCCTAATTGCAGCTCTGGCCAGCCAGAATGATAATTGTTGGTCTCTAGTACTCTTCTGTCCGAAGCCTGTGTGACCCAGGCTGATTAATGAGACCTCTTCTCCCTCCAGTTATAACATGCAAACAAATTGCTTGTGTAGCCAGAATGAGATGGGCTTCACCCAGTTAATAAGACTGTTCCCATCTGGAGGAAAAGAGAATCCATTTGTTTAATAAGTCTTACATGACATCTCTTTCTGCCTCACTTGCAAATTATTACTGGAATGACACTTTGCTTAGAAGAGAATGGTTCCAAACTCTCCAAGAGGAACCAATCCAATTAGTCCTCCTTCTGTCTGAATGTCTTCACAGCGACTCTTTGCTCAAGCAAACCCTAGAGATCTGTGGTTTTCAGAGTGTGGCTCAAAGGCCTCACGGACACAGCGCTCGCCCTGTTCACCCGTCGCTCTCCAGCCAGCCCAGCCAGCCTGGAGGCTGCTCACAGCTCAGCTCTCTGAAAGCTCCCTCCTGCAGCCCAAATGGCTGCTTTGTGGTGGAAAGAAAGAGTGGCCCTGGGAGGGGAAGGAGATGGAGACTGAACATTGATCACCCAGTTGCTTTCCCATTAGGAAAACTTGGAGAATCAACCAAGTTGATTGGACCGTGGATGGAGGAGCTGACTTTTCCGGATAGTGGGAGAGCCGGTATAGAAATGAGTATGTGTGTGCGCTCTATTTACTCCCCCCTCCTTTTCTCTCCCTTTCTCCTATCCCTCCCTCTTTATTTCTCTTCTAAATAACACCGCCTACAATTCCAAAGTAATGGAGAAGTCTCTTTAGGCTCAAGTCTGCTGTATACCAGTGTCCCTATTCACCCGTTTCTCATTTAGTCTGGCAAGAGTCTTGTTTGATCCTTTTCAGATGCAAGGCTAACTTAACAATCCGATGTCTTCTCTCCAGAATTGATGTCTACCCATGAGCTTGAAAAGAAAGAATTGGAAGACAGTTTTGAAAAGCTGCGGCTGTCATTACAGGTTAGTATCTCCTTAACCCTGAAGTCAAGCTAATGGCAGCATCGTTAGTCCTGTCCACAAACATTTGGGATATAGAGGGAGATAAGACGTTCCCCTGCCCTAAGGAGTTTATTGTCTACTCAGAGGGTGGTGGCAGAAAGAGTGACAGACACCCACAAAAGGTAGCACATCCTTGCACCAAGGGAATAATACCGTCAGTGAGTGCCACGGAGATCCAAGGTTGAGCCACACTTGCTGTGGTCAGAGGAGTCCCCGCGCTGTGTGTGAGGAAAGGGACTTGGGCGAAGCGCATGCGAGGCAGGGAGTGGTGTCAGGAGGGCTGCGAAGGGCAGAAGCCATAGGACATGTCTGGGATTAAAACAAAGGACTTCAATCACCTGGAGGTGGGTGAGACGGAAAGAACCTTCCCTGCCTCCACTGCCAACCTACACGACATGTGGGTCTCATGCCAGGGAGCAGCCTGGCTTCCTTCTGAAGGGGCCCCAGCTCACCTGCACCCCTCTCCCCCTTCCAGAGACCCTGCCAGCTGCTCTGTGAAAAGATGATGGCCACCCACAGCCCCAGGGAGGAGCTGCCTGGGAAGCTAGGGTGCTTCCGTTCCCAGCTGTGGGCATCTCAATCAGAGCAAGGTTAATTTTTAATATTGGGGACACTCACACCTGGACATTGTGATGACAATAACAACAAATGCCCATTGATTACCATAAGTAATACAAAGCCAGGAGTGTTGCCTCTGACGGCTGACTCTCCCCTGGCAGCATGCATCACACAGAGGCGGCCCTGCCTACGCAAGCACCCATGCTTGTGACACCAATGTCACACTACTGAGTGTGCTGTTCCACGTTTTCTAAACAGGAAACAGTCTGCAGTAAGCCCACCACCCGCCCATCAATGGGCCTGCAACACGCAGTCCTCACGGGCTCATCCTCAGCAAATTTACCCCAAACTGCCTTCCTCATGCATCCCTCTCGCAGCATCAGGTGCGCTGTCCTCAGGAACGCACGCCCGGAAAGGGAAAGCCAGACTGTGGCGTAACAGAAACCCACCAGCCCCGAACCGCAGAGAAGGTCTTGTTTCCCCCGTGAGTGAGTCTTCATTCCGCCCCTGCCATCCCACGGGCAACACCCTGTAGCAGACAGAACCATTTGGGCGGGAGGTTATTTGGTACAAGGAGGGTGGAGCTGCTAGAGCCAACTGCCTCCAGCGACGGGCAGCTAGAGCAGCAGGCTTGTGGTAAGAGGTTTGAACTCGGGCTTAAATCCCATGGCGCCCCCTCTTACGAGCTTTGAAACCTTGGCAATATGTGAGCTCCATGAGCCTTGGTTACTGGTCTGTGAAACGGTGCTGACAGTTCCTTCCGCGAGGAGTGACGTGTGTAAAGTGTGCAGCACCAGGTTGGCTCCTGGCAAATGCTAATAAGCTCTTGCTGTTCTGATAGTGGCTAATATTATTATTTGTTATATTTATTTTTATCATCCTCACTATTGTTATCATGCCGTTGGTTAGCTCCTAAGGGGCCGGTGCTGGGCCTCATCCTTGACATACAGGAGCCAATCCAATTGGAAGCAGCCTGTGCCGTGTGACTGCTGCACACCGCGTGGGCCTGGGGATTGGTGTTGAGTCATGATGAATGTGGCAGAAACACCAGTTTGATATTTGCCTGATGCGCTTTTGCTGTTCTGCTTTCTGATGGAGGAGGAGAGGCTTGAAAGAAATGCGACCTCTGACGGCGCTGACGCAGCTGGTGCCGCACGCGGCCTGGGGCGGCACCGGGGGTGTGGTAGTCAGGTTCCAGGGCACCACTGCCTACGTCGCCAGGGCCTGTGGGTACAGGCTCCCACTGACGACTGCATTGCCCTAATACCCAGCCTTGGCTTTTAATGGCACTGTGGGGGCTTTTGTTATTTAAGATGAAATAGAAGTAACTGGAAACAAAGAAACAAAAAAGAGGACAAGAAAAAACCAAGGCTGGTTTGCCAAACCGGGTTGTCTGCCATGATGAAGAAAGCAGTCAAGCCAGGGACTTCATACATTACAGTGTTACTCTGTACAATTCCATAATTTACAATACCTTGCTCCTTGCTCCTTGTGTCGGCTGGAATGAGGCCATTTCTCTTGAGAGAAGAGTTCATTGGAATTCCATAGGTTCTAATGTTACAGAAATGGTGTCATTGGGCGGAGAACTTTGATGATCAGTCCTTGCTAGGGTTGCCAGGGAGGGGTGAGCCAGGGAAGGGGTGTGGTGCCCCTTCCGTCAGCCGGCACACGGAGGGCTGCCTTGTGGCTGGTGTGTGCTGGAGGCCAGGAGCATGGTCTAAACAGAAGGTCTAAACTGAGGGACAGATGGTCTAAAAAGGGGGGACAGCCTCAGCTCACATCAGGGACATGCACCCCAGTCCTGAGGCCCAGGGAGGCCAAGAGGAGCCAGAAGTGATCCTGGAAGGAGAGGGAGCTGGCCGATGGAGCCAGTGGGAGAGCTGGGCTGTAAAATGGGGTGGGGCAGCGAGAGCCCCAGCTGGAACACGAGCGAGGCTGATGCGGGAGGTCTGTCACACTATGATGAGCACCTGCCTCAGCTTGATGCCCATGGTGTGTGCACAGGCCGTCATCACGGCTCCCCAGGCTGCAGTGTCCGCAGAGGACCGAGCTGGACTCCTTGTGTCATTACTGCAGGACCAGGTGGACACGCTGACCTTCCAGAGCCAGTCTCTGCGGGACCGAGCCAGACGCTTCGAGGAGGCTTTGCAGAAAAACACTGAAGAGCAGCTGGAGGTGTCGAGTTTCCCAGGCCTCCAGCACCGCGGGGCTCAGCGGGGCTCTGTGGACTTCTCCCCCGGAAGCCCTGTGGCTTCCTCAGCAGTCACCCCGATGACAGGGCCTCTGTGCTAATCTGCTACCAAAGCGACAGCTGGTCAGGCCCTCCCAGATCTTACACATATTCCTGTCAGCACCTCTCAGACAGGACAGTGGGGGTTTCTCCATCTAAATGTTATTCTTGCCACATGGCACACGGCTCCCGCCACTGTGCCTGAGCTCCTGGGACAAGCGTGGCCCGGCTAGGACCACCTCGCCATTGTTCTCTCCAGCTCCCTAGGTTGAGCGAGTTTTTGCCAGAAGAGCTGGCACAGTTCCTCCCCTCTGGTGTACAGTTGCCATATGCAGCACATCACACCCAGTTAAATCTGCATTACAGAGAAGTTAGTATAAGGATGTCCCTTTCAATACTTATACTAAATATAATGTTGTTTATCTGAAATTCAAGTTTAACCCACTTTACTATGGGGTTTTTTGTTGTTGTTGTTGTTGTTATATCTGGCAACCTCACTCTAACATTTCTTTTTTTAAAAATGCCTTTTCTGCTTTTAAAACCACTTTGCTCTGTTTCTATGCTGGGCTGGGGCTCTCCAAGGGCACAGCTGGCACCTGGAAATCCCCGCCACCTGCTGAACCAAGTGGTCTGAGTGACTGTCCAAAGCCAGTGTCGAACTGACTCCTTTCACCGCACCAGCTCCCTCTGGGGATGGGCTGGTAGCATCGGCCATTCCAGCCCCCACACTCTCCACTGGTGATGGCTTTCTCTCGTCTTTTCCCCAGGGAGCTGGACTTTTAGTCGCATTCCCAGGGGGACACCAGTGGGCATCTCTACCAGGGAGGGCTGTGTGCGCTGATGTTCCTCTCTCTCCCTCACGCTCCAGTGCCTACTGGGCAGCTGGTTAAAGAAGACTAGCTTTAGTGAAATCCATGACTGTGGTGAGCAGTGGCCTTTGCCAGGACCGGGAAGATAGCTTGTCGCTCTCTGCCCCTGTAGGTTGCACTGGCTCCCTATCAGCACTTGGAAGAAGACATGAAGAGTTTGAAGCAGGTGTTAGAGATGAAGAATCAGCAAATACACCAGCAGGAAAAGAAGATTATTGAGCTGGAAAAGCTGGTGAGTTGGTCTATTTCCAGGCGGGATGACTGTAAGGTTCATCGTTGATGTCAACACTGACACCGTTCAGGACACGGGCCCTGAACCCATTGCTCCCACCTGAGTGGAGAATTCTATCCTTGAGTCTCAAGGCCTTTCTTAGGTAGCCAGGGGTCTCAGAGGTGGCCTCATTTTGTACAACTCTGCAGCCTCCATCCCCGCCCCATCCCTCTGAAGTGGTTTCCTCACTCCTCCCTGGCGGACGTGTGATGAGCCAGCACAGAGGAGCATCACTGACGTGTGCCAGGCACCACGCAGAGCACTCTCCATGCCTCTGTTCTGACAGCAGGGCTGTGAAGGAGGTGCTGGGAGCCTCCTTTCACAAGTTAGAGATGGGGGCCTGGGACAGGGCACCTCACTAAAGCCAATCAGTGGCTACGCCCAGGCGGAAGGGAGCCCCAGCCCAGCGCTCTCACCACTCTCGGCCTCACCTTTCAGCCTGGCTTCCACAGAACCAGCCAAGGGCGCCCCTTTTGGGGAACAGAGCACCCCAGAGTTCATTCTCTACCTTTAGGCACAAGGGCCACGCCAGGGCTCCAGGAGATGGTTGTCCAAAGTTAGTAGCAGAGAAGCCAGTTTCCAAGGAGATACCATCCTGAACTGGAACTTGACCCAAGGCTCTCAGATCAATTCTTATGTTTTATTCCTTTTTATAAATTGTTATATGTAAAACAAACTTTTGATACTATATAAGGAAAATATGTGCATTATAGAAAATGATTAGACAGCCCTGGCCATCGTGGCTCAGTGGTTGAGTGCCGAACTATTAATCTGGAGTTATGGTTCGATTTCCGGTTGGGGCACATGTGGCTACATGGCACCATTCAGCAGCCCTTGGCAGCCCAGAGCTTCCCAGCAAGACAACAACTAAGACCACTGGGAGCTCAGGGACAGAGCCCTGCCCTCCTGGTCCTGCCTGTAGTCCAACCAACATGAGGGTAGCAACCCTCCTCCTCCAGGCTGGGCCATCTGCATCCAGTTGTCCAATCACTGACAAGCCTAGAGGCTGATGTGGCTGTTTTTGCCATGTTTTAGGCTTTCTGCAGGCATCCATGACTTCTCACTCCAGAAGCAGTTGTGTGTGTGGGGTGGGGGCTACTGATTTAATCACATCCCACTTCCTTAGAGCAAAGTGGAGGGCTGGGTGAGAGTGTCTTGATGAAGAGCAGGGACAGAGGGCCATTCTCTGGCTCTGATTCCTAACCCTTATTCTTGGAGAGGTGAACGTTTTCCTTAAAGATTAACTACACTAATATAGAATTTGTCACATTCTTTTCAAAAATAATTTATTTTAAACTTCATATTAGAATGGAACTGTACTCAGCGAGGTCTCGGCCCTGTGAGACCCTCTGACAGAGAGAAGGGTGTAAAGTGTGGAGCAGTAACAGCCCTGGGTGCTGCGATTTTTCAGAGAATGTGCCAAGATGGTCTTGTGCTTTGCATTCCTGGCTGCCCATAGTCTCAGAAGGGAAAATGTGTCCGTGTTTCCATCTCTCTATTCATTTAGAATGTCATAGGGTGCACCCAGCAAGGGGGGGTAATGCAGTACAGGGGGGGCCCATGGGACCCGTTAGCCAGACTAGGTCCTGGTGCTGATCACGGCATATCTCTAACAATGGCAACGGCCTGGGGACACTCACTATAAAAAATATATTCTACACAGGATTCCAGTATATACATACACACACGTGCATAATATATGTGAAATAAAACTATATATCTAAAATACATATAACTATACTTACTTTTACTATATACAGCACATTCTGGTATATTCTCTTCTGCTTTATTCTGTTTTCAACAAATGCTGGCCACATCCCTCTAACCTAATTTTACAAGCCACCAGTGCACTACACACTGTAGTTTGCAAAACACGCTTCTTGATAACCCGCCAAGGGCACTGGTCTCCTTCCTGTCAGACGGCCCTGCCAGGGGCCTCCTAACACTGCACCCTTTCCAGGCGGAAAAGAACATTATCCTGGAGGAGAAAATCCAAGTTCTCCAGCAGCAGAACGAAGATCTCAGAGCAAGGATTGACCAGAACACTGTTGTCACGAGGTAGGCAGAGCAGGTGTCTAAACTCACAAACCATGTGTCACCCACAAAGCGGCTTCGCTGCTGAGCTTGAGGGTCCTGTTTGTGTCCCAACATCCAATTTACCTCACTGCTCTGAGCTGTGAGGCCTCCCCGACCGTCGGAAAGCGTACAGCAGGAGCCCGGACGCGGCTGGGTGTTGCTCAGGTTTGTTCCCAGGGCGGATTTGGGAGCGGGGCCGCTGGGTGTTCCCAGGGAAAAGGGAACCACCATGTGCGCCACCCTGTGCTCGGCCAGCTCAGCAGTGCAGACCCACGTCTCCCTTGGCTGCTGAGCTGTCGCCATGGGCCAGCCTGGCCCTGGCAGCGAAGGGCTGGCCCTGACAGAGGACAGCAGAGATGGAATGTGCCAGAGAGAAGCCGTGTAGCCAAATGCAGCTGCTCCTGGTGACATGGTCTCTATCTTGGTCCCCTGCTCTGAGGTCCCCAACTTCCAGGGAAGGATGTGGAGATACTCCCCTCCCCCCCGCCCCCCCTGCGGTTGGTGTGCAATAAAACAGCCAGTGGGAGGCTATTTTTGTCCATGAGGGCTGAGCCATCACCGGGCTGAAGGGGGGGGAGGGAGGGGCAGGGATTGATGTGGTGGGACAAGCAGCAATAGTGGTTCAACCGAGACTGTGGGTTAGGGTCTGACTTACCCCCGCTGCCCCGCAGGCATCCTTGGCCTGGCATATGGCGAGCTAAGGCCCTGTGGCATGACTGTCCTCTCCCCGTGCAGACAGCTGTCGGAGGAGAACGCCAACCTGCAGGAGTACGCGGAGAAGGAGGCCCAGAGAAGAAGAGGCTGAGCCGCACCAATGAAGAGTTGCTCTGGAAGCTCCAAACTGGGGACCCAACCAGCCCAATTAAACTCACCCCCACGTCCCCTGTTTACCGCGGCTCCTCCTCCGGACCCTCCTCACCCGCCAAAGTGGGCACCACGCCCAGATGACAACGCCCCGCGGCCCTCGGAGCTGCGGCCCCTCACGCACCCGCGCTTCCACCTGGAGGGAGTCTGGACCACGGCCAGCCCCGCGCATGCTCAGGAGCTGCTCAGCGGCACCCTCCCCGGGTCCACTGCTCTTCCCTGGCGTTGGCACTGAGGGAAGTGTTCGCGGTCGTGTCTGATGTGCAAACGTTGGACTGTAGTTAGAGCCAAAAGAAAGAAATGCCAATTGTTTTTGAGCAATGAATTTTCACTGCAGAATTTCAGGTTAGTGACAGTTCAGTTTGGAATCTATACCGAATAATCATTGTGTGCTGCACCCATGTGTGTAGATATGTCAATGAACGTATCTGTACACGCGGTGGTTCTAAATTGCATTTTTTATAACATGACGTGCTGACATATTTTGGTGAAGGTCAGCAGTTTTCTAACTTGTGCCTAAGAATACTTGGGAAATGAAAATGCATTTCTATCTAGCTTCCCAGGAATATTTCTACCCAAAATAGAAAAGAAAAAAAAAGATACTGAGAAGAAGCGCCTTTCGACCTGCCACCAAGTGGTACTGTATTTAACACAAACACCAGCGACTTGTGAACAGTAACTGCCTTTGGAACAACCAGCTTCTTAGTCAACATGATCTGAAGTCACCATTACTCCATTCGCAGGCTTTAATGATCAAGGCTCCTGTGGTGAGCGGCTAAGGGAGCGCAATGGGAAACCCTGAGGGGGTTAGCAGCTTTTTAGATGTTTCGACATGACAGTGAATCATCTATAGTCTTGTAAACACAAGTTTTGCTTTTTTTCCTAAACGACATCCTGGAATCTGTCCTTCAGCTATTGCTCCCTCGGGGGAAATATGGGAGAGCAAGCCCTTCTGGAGGGAGGGTGAGGATGACCTTGGAGTTGACCAAGACCATTCGCCCTGCGGCCTCAAGAGGAAAACTGCTGACAGGATCTGTGCCCTGACTGAGCCCAGAGCAGGGACGCTCTGGCATTCTAGGTGGTTTGCTCTGATCTGATGCTGCAAGTGGTCAACCCACCGATATGACCCTCGGGCCCCCATTCATAGCAACCTCCCCTTCAGTTCGGTTCAGTAACTCAGTCCCATCACTGTGCATTGAGATGGCTCAGGGGTTCTAGCAGGGGCTTCCAGAAAACCAGTTCTTCCGTTTTGGGGGACCAATTCCACGCTGAGCTAGACCATCCCTTGACCCACCAGGAACCCAGGTGTATTTTCTGCAGGATCATCGAGCAATGCCACAGCTGACAGTGCTCCATCTTAGACCCAAAAGGTCCTTCCACACAGAGGAGCCCACTGAAACTCCAGCCAGTGGTCACTGGCTACTGGACTGGCACCTGTCTCTGAAATGGTAGAATTAGAGCGTGAGAGGTGTTCCTGTAGTGCTGTGGAAGGTTAGGAGCATGACACCCAACGGGGAAGTAGTTTTAACAATTGATATGATGATAATGTTGCCTTTGTTTCCTGTTTGTGACAGAGACCCTGTACTTCCCTCCCTAAGGCCCCTGGAAATTGTCCTGAGCACAGGGCAGTCTTTGAGTATGACCAAGGCAAGTGGACTCAGGCAGGGACATCTGTGGTGGGGAAGAGACGGCCCACAGAAGGAAGGGGTCGGCTTGCCCAAAGGCCTGCCTGCTTCGCTCACATGAAGACAGACCTGGTCTGTGTTCCCTGCCTGAGTCAAGGTTGGGCTTTTGCTTAAGTTCCATCTTGTTTCTAGCAAACCTCCAATAGTATCCACCCATCCCGGGGACATACATAGTAGATGCCCATCAAAGAAACATTTCTCCTCTCATGGCTCTGCATGATGCTGAGATATTGAGTCAGGCATTCCATTAGAGTAGATTATGCCACGTTCACAAAGTACACAGTTATGTCTTCTTTTAGCGGCACCACCTCCAAACACAGTTTCAGCGGCAGCTCAGCTCTCCAAATTAGGAACTGCGTCCATAGGGACACCTGCTAAATGCAGTTACACAGCAATACCGACTCCAGTGTTCTGTTAGGATGTGCTACAGCGTGTTAGCCTATTGTGGCCAGGGCGTGGTGATGTTAGCACTAAATAATCCCTCACCAGGTGGACTGGAGCTCTGCCCTGACCAGCCCTCACCTTGGGCACTTGAGCTAATTCCTACGTTGCCCTGGCCTCGTCCTTCACCGTGGACTCCCGTCACCTCTGGCCGTTATCCTGGAACAGGAGGGGTGGCAGCCACTGTGCTCCCTTCCGCCACTCTGCACGCTATTAGGACTTGGACCTCTCAACATGGAAGTCCTGGCATCACGTCCCAGGCCCAAGCTGTTTCCACTTACAGATGCCGCAGCTCCGCCTCCTCAGACAAACCCATCAGACCTCACGGACCTTTTCTTGGCATTTGGGAGCTGAGTGTGTGCCCTTCCCCACTGCCGGGCCCCCGAGCTGGGGCAGGATTCTGGCCGGGTGTCGGAGAGGGGAGGGGTTGATGGACTGGCACACTGGGTGTGATTGCTTGAATGGGGTCACACATTCCTTACCCAGCCCCTACACTTTCTGTATTGCATATTTGTGTTTGAAGCATATTAAAGTTAATTTGAGGGAGCTCCCGTGACACGCACTTGATGTAACTCTTGGCCTGACCAGCTCAGGCTTGAGGAAATTCGGGCTGGATCCATAGCAGCCAGGGAGGTGTTTGGCAGGCTGGATTTTTTTTTTTCTGTGTTTTGCCATGGTCAGCCACTGAGTCTCCAGACCTCTTGCCTTGATTCAGCAGGTTCGAGGCCCCCACACCCATATTTGCAGCCCAGGATCTCCAGGAGCCTGGCCCTGGTTTTGGGGGTCAGTGACTCTGCTCAGCCCGCTGTCTTTAGTAGGCTGGGTGGGCTGGAGTCAGTGGGAAAGGGACACAAACGATTGAGTGCAATTCCTTTACCATCGATTTCAAATTCAGCCCTAAACAGGATATGATTCTACCCCCAACGAAAGTTTGATGTGTCCTAAATCCTGCCAGTTCATGCCTGGATGGCCATAGAGCTCTCTCATGAGCAGCAAGGAGGAGCCCTCCTGGTGTGATGGTCACAGACAGCAGTTCCTTATCGTGCACAACGATCTGTCAGGCTTTCTCATGCCAACAGGGGACACAGGAGCCTGGACAGCTCTGTGGCTCTTCCTATAATACTCTGTGCAGCCAGCACATTTGTTTCAGCCTGAAAGCACTTGCTCCCCAATCCTGACCGCTGGTTGGGTTGCAGCCAGCTTGGCCAGCCTGCCCCTGCTTAACGATGCAAGGGAGACCCCTAGTTGTCCAGTTCCCTGTGGGGCATATAGGAGTGGTAGGGACTTTAGTGAGACTGTAGCAAGTCTGCCGTCCTGAACAGCTGCTGAACAAGAGAGCTTTCGAGGATGATAAATCCCCTTGAGTCACTTCCAGACCTGCAAGGACCACAGAATCCCCTCTAAGTCACCCAGCTTCCAGGTTATTGATAGTGACAACCTATTTATTGATTCACTTGTCAACCTGTCCCAGCCTGTTAGTGTCTTTTGCTGTGTCTTGTGTCCTCCACTTTTATAATAACCACCTTCCATTTCCTTTCCCCCCACACGTGAGGTCTCACCTTTACTGAGCAGGCGGGTGACTCAGCCACTGGCATGTGCAGGGAGTGACGACGTTAGAGCCGCTTCCTCCTGTCTGCAGAGAACTCTCCCCTCTCACAGCTGATTTGCAGCAGGCAGACGAGACCTCTAAAGTCAACCACTTGGTCACCTCCTCTGTGCAAGGAGCCTTGCACAGCCGGCTCTCCCTGCGTGGGACTTGGGTCACTCATCTCAGCGGGAAGGAGCGATGCTCAGGTAGAAACCCGGAAGTGGGTACAGGCATACTGCGGAGATATTCGGGTTCAGTTCCAGACTACAATAAAGCAAATATTGCAATAAAGCAAGTTGTAATCTTTTAACTAGTGGAGGGCCTTGCCTTCAGTTTGTAAAAAATGCAACATGTGTGAGGTGCAATAAATCAAAGCACAATAAAACAAGGTGTCTCACCTGTTTGAACAGCTGGTGCTGCCTCAGAGTATAGCAGTGATGGCGAACCTTTTGAGCTCGGCATGTCAGCATTTTGGAAAACCCTAACTTAACTCTGGTGCCGTGTCACATATAGAATTTTTTTGATATTTGCAACCATAGTAAAACAAAGACTTATATTTTTGATATTTATTTTATATATTTAAATGCCATTTAACAAAGAAAAATCAACCAAAACAATGAGTTCGTGTGTCACCTCTGACACGCGTGTCATAGGTTCGCCATCACTGGAGTATAGGCATCAAACCAGATCTCTGGGACTGCACAATGTTATTATGAATCAGCATTCTGCCCACTGGAATGTTTGGATCAAATGCTTAAATATACACAAAAAACACCCAAAGTTGTTAAGACAAGGGCAATTAAATCACTTAAGTTTGCTTAATATCTTTTTAACCACTCTGCTTCTCTCAAACCTCTTAAAAACAAAACAACAGGCTCCCTGGGTTCAGCCAGCCCAGCTCTGTTCTCCGCCCCCTCCCCCGGGGAGAGGGGGGCAGGGGGTGGGGTGGGGTGGGCGATAGTTCAAGTCTCTGAGGCTCTTCCAGCCAAGACATGGGGGGATGAGATTCTACACAGCTCTAAGCTGGAGTCACTCTGCTGCAAGTGACCCAGGTCCTGGCTGGGTGCAGCACGCCAGGGCACCCACTGCACGGACAACCAGCAGGCCACCGCGCACAGCTGCTGCTCTCTGGGTGGTGGTTTCCGTCTTCCCTGCACCCAGGTTAATGTAGCAGGGGGTGTATTGCATCCCCTCTCCAGTGACTGCAGACCACCGGCAGGCACTCAACAAGTGACTTCATTGTGTTTTTAAAAAATGTTTTCTATTTAATGATTTGAGAAAAAGAAACTCGATTTGTTGTTCCACTTTTATATGCACTCATTGGTTGCTTCTTGTATGTGTCCTGATCGGGGATCAAACCCGCAACCTTGGTGTATTGGAACGACACTCAAACAAACTGAGCTACCCCACCAGGGCCAACTTCATTGTTTTGCGAAGTAAAATGTTAAAGTATCCATGAGAAAGTGTAACCCGCACAGCTTCTCCATTTCCCCACCCAAC